TAAAAATCATCTTTGGTACTTCCGACGTTTCTGTGGACCCATGAAGACCTCTGCGGGGGCCTCTGGACCGGGGGCTTCTGGACATGTCATCCTCCTTCAAAGTGCGCAGCCGCACACATTTCACATCTCTCCAAGGGCGCGCCTCGACTAGAATTCCAAAGGGGGCCCTAGCACTGCCGACGAAGAGACCCACGGAGGCCGAACAATACGGTAAGCATGTGGAAACGGGAGGAACAGATACATAACATGTTTCAAGGTGTTGTCTCATGCTGTAATTTTCTAGCCAACGTAGACCCAATAACAACTTGTTTGTAGCACTCAATTTGGTGCTCCCTAGGTGGGGCAATATAGGTCGTGCATTCGATGTGTTGCGCTCTATGCTGTGCAACGGAACTTTACAAGCGAACGACAGCATCCATGCTCCGGCGAACATCCCACCACCCGCCCGCCACTTGGTTTGCACAACCCATGCAGCGGCGGTTGCGAAGGGTGCTTGGCGTTGGCTGGTGCGTCTGTGCGGCCGCGCTAACCCTCGCATGCTCGCGCGCGCAGCGGCCAGTTAGCTTTGCGAGACGGACACGGCCGCGGTGGCGCTGACCGCTGGGCACTTCCCAACGGGCACTTCAGCGCGAGTCGGTGATTTGGGCGGGCGCGGCATCATGGCGACGCCGGCAACGGTAGACACGATTATGAAAGTAGCGGTGATGGTGACGATGGTTGTGATGACGACGGCAAGGCTAATGGCGGCACCGATGTTGATCACGCCCGCCGATAACAATGACGATGTCCTCGCGTCGGCGATGAAGGTTTTACAAGGAGCTCGACATGCGCGCGTGGCCGACGCGCGAGAGTGTTCGAATGAGTTCGACATGCGGCGCGAGATGTCCGTTCGGCAGCATTTGATAACACGATGTTGGACAGCCAGTGGTTTTCCTTAAAAGCCCGCAGAAGATAGAGCGCATTTTTTTATATAAAAACTGACGTTGCAAAGCTATGTGATTTTATTAGTGTTCGGGGCATTCGGTTTTGAAGTCCGAACGGAACCCGAGGTTTTTCAAGGATTTCGGCATGCGCGCGCGACGACGCGCGCGTGTGCACTTCGTTCCGTTTTTGCAAGGAACTCTTGCGACAGCACGCGCGAGAGGCCAATGTGGAAGCATTTTTCTTCAATCAATCTATATTTGTATGTATATATATATATATATGTGTATATGTATGTATGTATGTATGTATGTATGTATGCATGTATGTATGCATGTATGTATGTATGTATGTATGTATGTGTATATATACATATATATATATATATATGTATATACATAAAAGGATTCGCAAGAGCGCGGGCGCACTTTTTTGTTTTATTAAATGTTGCAAGCCCAATTTTTTGCACTTGTTTTCGTGACACTCGGTTTTGACATATTATTTACGCAACCGAAGGATTTTTCAAAGATTTCGGCATGCGCGCGCGACGACGCGCGCGTGTGCATTTCGTTCCGTTTTTTTGCCAGGGATTATCGAACACTGATGATTTGTGAAAAACGAAAGGGCGCGACTCGAAATTTTCCAGAGGATGGCGGGAGGGGGTCGATACCGGCCTGGCTGGGATGGTCTGAGTTCATATTTCGCATGGGCTATGGGGCAGAATCGTATGTAACTTGTACAACGAAGCGGCGAACGGTTAAGGCCAGGGGGGGGGGTAGATCTCAATTCTTTTTTTAGAGAAGATAAACTATGTTGTGCCACATATGTTGTGCAGTAAATGTTGTGCAATCCGCGTGGAGCAATCTATGCGGTGCAATCCACTCTGCTGAACTTGAAGTCGTCATCTCCACTGCTCGCGCAAACATCCCACCCACCCACCCGCAACTTGGTTTGCAAAACCTCTTAAGACCGACTACGACGACACCGACGACAACGACTACGACGACACCGACGACGTCTCCGACGACTTCGGCGACGACAACGACGCCGACGCCGACGACGACGACGACGACGACGACGCCAACGAAGGCGACGACGAGGGAGGAGGAAGGACGACGACGGCGACAACGACGACAACGACGACAACGACGAGGGAGGAGGGAGGACGGCGACGACGCGAACGACGAAGAAGGAGGAAGGATGGCGACGCCGACGACGACAACGACGAGGGAGGAGGGAAGACGACGACGACAACGACGACGACGACGACGACGGCCACGAAATAGGAGGGACGACGACGAGACGCCGACGACGGACGACGACGACGACGAGGGAGGAGGAGGAAGGACGACCACGGCGACAACGACGACGGAAACGACCACGACGCCAAAGAGGATGACGACGACGAACACGAGGAAAGACAGAGGACGACGTAGGCGACGACGACGACGACGCGGGAGGAGGAAGGACGGCGACGACGACGACGACGACGCAAGAGCGCGCGCGCACGCTTTTGTTGAAAATCCGTGTTGCGAAACCTTGGGTTTTTGTAGGTTTCTTGGACACACGATTTAGAAATCCTTCCGAAACCAATGGGTTTTGAAGGTTTTCGGCGTACGCCCGCGACGACGCGCGCGTCTGCACTTCGTCTTATTTTTTGCAGAGGATTCTCGCGACGGCACACGCGCAAGGGCGTTCGACAGATTTCGACATGCGCGCGCGCGAAGCCCGTTTGGTAGCATTTTGTGAAAATATGGAAAAATCTATGGTTTTCTTAAGATTCCGCAAGAGCTCGCGCGGAAGTTTTTTTAACAAATCAATGCTGCGAAACCCTGTGTTTTTGTATGTTTTTTGGAAACTCGATTGCGAAATCCTTCCGGCACCGGGGGTTTTTGAAGGATTTCGGCATGCGCGCGCGACGACGCGCGCGTGTGCACTTCGTCCTTTTTGTTGCAAGGGATTCGTGAACAATTGTTACGTTAGAGCAAGAAATGTCACCGTATAGTGTTTTTTTACAAAGGAGCCTCAGGGGGGGGATACAGTCCGGCCTGGGATAGTGTAGATTCATATTTAGGATGGACATGTGGGCATAATCATATATGATTTACATACCCGACGGGGGTACCGATAACGCCGGGGGGGTAGATCCTATTCTGTGTTTAGAACAGAGAATTCATTTTTACCCATGCTTTGACACATCCCATGCTCTTGCAAACATCCCACCCACCCACACCTAACTTGGTTTGCAAAACCTCTTAAAACCGAGTACAACGGCACCGACGACAACGACTACGACGACACCGACGACGTGTCCGACGACTTCGACGACGACGACAACGACGACGACGACACCGACGACGACGACGACGCCGATGCCGACGACGACGACGATGACGACGCCGACGACGACGCCGACGACGACGACGACGTCGACGACGCCGACGACGATGACGACGACGGCGGCGGCGACGACGACGCCGACGTCGACGACGAAGACGACGACGACGCCGACGCCGACGACGACGTCGCCAACGAAGAGGACGACGAAGGAGGGAGGAGGACGACGACGGCGACAACGACGACAACGACGAGGGAGGGCGGCGACGACGCGAACGACGAAGAAGGAGGGAGGACGGCGACGCCGACGACGACAACGACGAGGGAGGAGGGAAGACGACGACGACGACGACGACGATGGCGACGAAATAAGAGGGACGACGACGAGACGCCGACGACGGACGACGACGACGAGGGATGAGGAGAAAGGACGACCACGGCGACGGAAACGACCACGACGGCAAAGAGGACGACGACGACGAACACGAGGAAAAACAGAGGACAACGACGGCGACGAATAATATGTAAATTGCAATACGAAAAGGTGGCCCGTTAACTCTTTGGGGGGGGTAGAATCTATTCTTCTTGTGGAAAGGAGTATTCATGTTTGTGCGCGGTGAATGGTCAGCTCGATTGCTCGCGCAATCATCCCACCCACCCACCCGCAACTTGGTTTGCATAGGCCCTTGCGGCGGCGATTGCGATGAGTGCTTGGTGTTCGCTGGTGCATGTCTGTGGCCGCGCTAGTTTGTGCATGCTCACGCGCGCAGCGACCAACTAGCTTGGCGCGACGACGCGGCCGCGGTGGCGCTGACCGCTCGGTACTTCCCAGCGGGCACTTCAGCGCGAGTCGGCGAATTGGGCGGGCGCGGTATCATGGCGACGTTGACGACGGTAGACACGAAGATGGTCGTAGCGATGCTGGTCACGATGATGACAACGACGACGGCAAGGCCAACGACGGCGCCGATATTGATCACGCCGACGACGATGACGGCGTCCTCGCGTCGGTGATGAAGGTTTTGGTAGAAGTTCGACATGCGCGCGCGCGGCCGACGCGCGAGAGTGGCCCACATGCCATTGTTTGACACGGGCCGTGCCCCCCCAGCACGCGCGCAAAGGCGGCTGCGTGAGAGGCCCGCTTGGCATAATTTCAGGGACATTTTGAGACAACCATATTTCATGAAAGCGCGAGCGCAAGAGAAAACTGGCCTTGCAAAACCATCCGATTTTGAAATCCTGAAGCCCGAAGTTCTTGAAGGATTAAAGATTTCGGCGCGCGCGTGCACTTCGTTCCTTATTTCATGGGACGTGTGGGGGCCGGTGCCAGGCTGTCCTGTCGTATCGTCTCTTCGCAGCAGAGCGACATCGCAGGGCTGTAGCAGGCTGCGTTCGGCTCCAGCTTCGCCCCCCGCATCTCGCTCAGCAGCGTCAGCGCCCGCTGCCACTGCTCGCCCTTCTTTCGCGCACTGATCCCAGCGCTGCAGCTGATGACGTCGGGCTTCAGCTTCGCCTCTCGCATCTCGCTCAGCAGCGCCAGCGCCCGCTGCCACTGCTCGCGTTTCTCGCAAGCGCTGATCCCAGCACTGTAGCTGACTAGGGCTGACCCGTGGGCTCCGTCCACGAAATCTGTACGATCTGGCACGTGATTGTGACCATGCTGCTGAAAAGCTGAAATTACAACGTGGGGCTCGGCCCTCGTATTCGGCGCATGCTACTGCGTGCTGCTGCTTGCTGCCGCTGTTGCCTGCTGTTGGTAATGCTTGCCGCTTGCGTGTCGTTGTTGCTCGTGGTTGCAGGGTGCTGCTGATGGCCAGTTCTGCTTTGTGCTTGCTGTTCCTGCTGCTGCTGCTACTTGTTGTTGCTGTGTGCTGTCGCTGTTGCTGCCTAGTGGTGGAAGCGGTGTCAATGGAGGCGCAACCATGTAGGCACGACATGGTGTGGACAGAAGATGATTCTCACGTCGCGCTCTGTGTTCATCACAGCTTCTGCGCGGCGGGTCGCCGTGATACTTTTATATGCTCTTCGCCGGGGCCGATTGTCAATTTTATCTGGTAGTGTGATGAGACTAGGGCTGGTGGGCGCGGCGGGCATGTTCCTGTTCGTTCGTCTGAAATTTAGACGGCCTGCGAGACCCGCAAGAGTGCGCCGAGACGGCCCACTAGGTCCCCAGGACGGGCCAAGAGACCTCCAAGACGGCCCAAGAGGAGGAGGAGGAGGAGGAGGAGGAGGAGGAGGAGGAGGAGGAGGAGGAGGAGGAGGAGAAGAAGGAGGAGGAGGAAGAAGAGCAGGCGGATGATGAGGAAGAGCAGGAGGAGGAGGAGGAGGAGGAGGAGGAAGAGGAGGAATAATGAGTGAGAGAAGAAAGCTGAACGGGGAAGCTCGTTGGGCCTTGTTATGGGTAACATGCTTTGTTGAAGGCTACCTGGGAGGTGCAAAGGCGGGAAGATCTCCTGGGAGTTCCACCGGAATGATCGGAGTATCTTGGGATGGTCTGGGGCGCCTCGGAGTGGTCTGGGGATTCGTTCGGGGTCCGCGGCTTCCTTTCGGGCTTCTGGGGTTCAGAGGCGGCGAAAGGGTGCCGTGGCTGATGGCGCTCTGCTTAAAGCTCCTTGGCAAGTGTCGGAGTCTCTTGGAAGACTCTGGGGCATCGGAGTGGCCCTAGGAAGGAGTTGTCCTGGGAAGGTTCTTGGCTCATTGGGAACTGCGGGGGGCCCGTCGTCTGGAATATCTTGGGACCCTCTTGGAGGTCTCTTCGGGGTCTTTATGGAGCCTCTGGGGCGTTTCTGGAGCCATTTTGGAGCGCTCTTGGGCCGTCGTGGGGGCTTGCAGGGACGTCCTGGGGCCATCTGGGAGGGCTTTGGATGTTGGGAACCTTGGGACGTCTGGTGGGGGATATTTTGGATGGTTCGCGCCGTTTGGGAGCCCGCTCGAGCCCTCTTCGACAGCTCTTGGGGCCCTCTTGGGCCATGTTTGGGGGATCTCCTGAGCCGTCTCGGGGGCCTCTCGGGTTGTCCTGAGGCGATGTTGGCGGTCTCGGGCCGCCTTGGAACACGCTGTGGGACCTTTTGGGTACCTCCTGGGGTTGGGCTGTCCTGGGGTCGCCTTGGACCGTTCTGCAGCCCCCTAGAGGCACTCTTGGGGCGTCTTGGGGCGATCTTGGGGGCCTGCATGGCCGTCGTGGGCGCCGTGAACACAAGGAACGCGAACCTGTTGAAATTGTACGTGTCTCCTACGGATGAAAGGATTTTGCTTCTGGGAGCCCTCTTGGACGTCTTCTGGGAGGGCTTGAATGCCTCTTGGGCCGTCTGGAAGCATGTCTGAACGTCTCGAAACCGTCTCGGGGACGTCTCGGGCGCACCTCCGCGCTCCCTGGAGGCGTCCTGACGCGCGCTGGAGCCGCCCGGAGAGGCGCGCTGAGGCGCGCCTCCGGGTGCGCCAGGGGCCCGCCGAGGCCGCTTTGGCCCACTTGAGAACTTCCCCTTCCCGCACGCGCTGCTGCCGGCCGCGTAGGAGAGACTACAGTCGAGGCGTTGACCTAAGGAACCCTAAATAAGGAACGAGGCCCCTATTTTCCACAAATTGAACATCGATTTCGTATCGAAAACCTAAGGAAAGTCCAAGGCAAGCTGCGAAATACTCAAGGAACACGGAGCCCCTCCCCAACGAAAAGGGTTCCTTCTTCAGGGCCCCGACTGCAGGGCGAACCCGTGGACTTCGTCCATGTCATCTGGCGTGCTCAGAGCGGATCGTACGACAGCGCCTCCCTCGAAGAGAAGCATGCGGGGCCCACGGAGCGTTCAAAACCGTGGTCCGCCTCATCTCTCTGGGAGCAGCTTGGAAGCCTCTGGGGCTCTCGCGGGGGCCGCTCGGAAGTATCCACGGGCACCGTGTGGGGTCTCGAGGATGATTGGCGGCGTGCATTAGGGGGTAGGGAGAGGGGGGAAGGCTTCTTTTAAGGAGGCTGCTTCTTAGAAGGCGCGGGCCTTACATAATGGAGAAGGCCCGCCCCTTCTAAGAAGCAGGGGTGCTTCTAAGAAGCCTTGCCCCCTCCCCCTACCCCCCTCTGCGCGTGGCCGAGATGGCTTGGGGCCGTCTTTGGCGCCTTATGGGCAGTCTTGGGCCGTTTTGGGCGCCACTCGGGCTGTCGTCGGGTCGCCCTGAGCGGCTCTATGTGGCCGCCTTGGGCGCCTCCTGCGCCATCTTGAAGCCCTCCTGGGTGGTTGTAGGGCCTTTTTGAAGGGGCACTGGGACACACAAATAAATAAACACAAATAACCAGATTCCCCATATTTTCCTATATTTTCTGGGTTTTTGTCTTCCCCCCACTTCCCATATTTTCCCATATTTTCTGGGGAATCGACGATTAATTGTGTCTGTGTGCTTCTTTCCCTCCTGACTTTTCCGGGTCCGCTCGGACAGCCTTGGAGCGTTCGGCGGAGCGCCAGCAGCTGTCTGGGGCCGGTCTTGGCTCGAAATGGCTAGAAGGTGATCTTTCAAAAGCAAGCCGGAAATCAGTGATTTCGCTTGCCACGGCCCGTCTGAACGGCCTCTGGGGTCGTGCAGGGGCCATATTGCGGGTGTTGGGCCGTCTCGGAGCTTACTGTGAGCGGTCTTGGGCGGCTCTTGGGCCGTTTTGGGCTCCTCCGGGAGCCGTCTTGCACGCACGCCAGAGCCGTCTTGGGGTCCTTGCCCGAGCCTCTTGAGTCTTAGAGCAAACGTGGGGGGCCCAGCAGCCGTCCTGGGCCGCTCTCAGCTCGAAATTGCGAGAACCTGAAAATCAGGCCAAAAATCGTACGTAAACATAACATCAGTGATTTTTGGCCGCCGCGAGCCGTCTGGATGGCCCCAGGGGCCATGTTAGAGCTCTGGGGCTGTCTCGGAGCTCTCCGTCAGCCCTCTTGGACGGTTCTTGGGGCCCGTTTAGGGCCTCCTGGGGGCTCTCTCGGGCCGTCTTGGGGCTCTCTCTGGCCGCCTTGGGTTCCTCCACGAGCCGTCTTGGAGCACTCGTGAGCCGTCTTGGGGCCCTTGCCGGAGCTCTTGGGCGGCCTTGGAGCGTTCGGGGGGGCCCCAAGAGCCGTCTTGGGCCGCTCTTGGCCCGAAATCGCGAGAACCTGGAAATCAGAAAAATGATCCTGGCGAAGGACCCAATCATTTGCAATTGTGAATAACGCTTTGTGGGTGCCGCTTTCGGTGGGGCTCCTTATGGGGCCACGAAAGGCGTGCCACGAAACGCTGTCCTGGGCGTACGGGACGCATGAGGGCGGTAGCACTGGGGCCTTCGGTGGAGCTCCCTATGGGGCCCCGAAGCGTGTGAGGGGTGTGCCGAAATGGGTGCGGCGCCGCCATGCGAACGCAGCCACTGGGGCCTTCGGTGGAGCTCCCTATGGGGCCACGAAACGTGTGAGGGGTGTGCCGAAATGGGTGCGGCGCCGCCATGCCAACGCAGCCACTGGGGCCTTCGGTGGAGCTCCCTATGGGGCCACGAATCGTGTGAGGGGTGTGCCGAAATGGGTGCGGCGCCGCCATGCGAACGCAGCCACTGGGGCCTTCGGTGGAGCTCCCTATGGGGCCACGAAATGTGTGAGGGGTGTGCCGTGATAGTGGGAGGGGGGAGGAGGGGGGGGAGGAGGAGGCGGAGGAGGAGGAAGGAAGGAGAGGAGACGCGGGGCACCGTCTCTTCAAAACGAGGACCCAACACCACAGGATGGTTGGGAAACAACAATTGGAAATCAATGATTCTGGCCGCCGCAAGCCGCCTGGCGGCCTCTGGGGCCGTCTTGGGGCCATGTTGGGGCTCTTGGCCCGATCTCGGCGCTCCCTGAAGGCGTCCCGAAGCGTGCTCGAGCCGCCCAGAGGTACGCCGGGCCGCGCCGAGGCTGCGCCGGGGGCCCGCCGAGGCTGCGCCGGGGGCCCGCCGAGGTCGATTTTCGAGACTTGATCCGTTTCCCTTCCCGCGTGCGCTTCCCCCAGCCATGTGGGAAAGACTAGGGCTGACCTGTGGACTCCGTCCACGCAATCTTCCTGAAATGGTTCTCGGAGGAGCGGCGGGGATGCTGCCGAACGGCTAATTATCAACGTGGCGGTGAGGTGCGAGTCCAGCAGCGCCCCTCACCACCAGGTTGATAGCCCCTTTCTCTTCTCCTTCGCCTCCTCTTCCTCCCGTCCCTTCTCCCCCTCCTGGAGTGAAGCGCCCCAGGCCCTCAGAGCGCCAAAAAAGGTTTGTTTGAGCCTGCGACGGGCCGCCGAAACGTTCAGTTTGCAGGGCCCTCGGAGCGTCCAAAACCGTTGTTGGGTCGGAAGGCACGATAATGCCAAACATGCCAGTTTTCTGAAAGGAGTGGGCAGATTTTTGCACCTCGGGGCTGTCCTGGGGAATCCTCGGGGGCCGTCCTCGGAGGCACCTGGCCTGCCCTGGGGGCCCAGAGGGCCGTCGGAGCGGCCTCTTGAGCAGCTCGGAGCGCCCCTGGGGCCGTCGGGGCGGTCTCTCGGAGCCGTCTCGGAGTCGCCGGGGCGCCCTCTTGAGCGGTTCGGATCTGCCTTTGGGCCGTCGGGGCGGCCTCTGGAGCGTCTCGGAACCGTCGTGGGGCCGTTGGGGCGCCCTCTTCAGCGGCTCGGAGCCGCCGTGAGCCACTCGGTGCAAGAACCCTTATCGCACGCACTGTTCCCGATACTCTAGTAGGAGAGAAGATGACGTCGGGCTTTCAGCTTCGCGTTCCGAATCTCGCTCAGCAACGCCAGGACCCGCTGGCACTACTCGCCCTTCTCGCACGCGCTGATCCCAGCGCTGTAGCTGACCCTGCAGCTGACCCGTGGTTTTTTGGCTGCAGAATCTGCTCGTCATGGTGTGGACGTGGAAGTGGAGCGTCTCCGGGGCCTCGCGGGGGGGGTTGGAGGGGACGGTGTGGATGGAGGAGGTGGCCGCAGGAGGGGGAGGGATGCAGGCGAGCAAGCCTGAAGGCAGGATCGCGGTGGTGGAGGCGGTGTCAATGGAAGCACACCCATATAGGCACGACGTGGTGTGGACAGAAGCTGTTGCTTACGCCGCCCTCTGTGTTCATCATAGCTACTGCGGGGCGGGGCGCCATGATGACTTTGTCTGGTAGCGTGGTGGGAATAGGGCCGGTGGGGGCGGGCATGTTAGTGTTCGCCCGTCTGGAGTTTAGACGGCCTCAGAGGCCTGCTAGAAGGCGCCAAGAAGGCCCCACGAACTCCCTAAGACGGGCCCCAGGGCGAGGACAAGGATCGACCTTTCGAGTTCACCGCACCAAGACGTCCCCGAAAGGCCCAAAGATGGCTCCCGGAGGGTCCAAGAGGCCCCCAGACGACGCTGGAAGTTCGACGCTCCTCCCCAAAACAGAAGCATCCAAGGCCTCTCGGGTGCCGTTTGGGAGCCTCTTTTCGTCCCCCTGAGGGTCTCTCTGGGCCCTCTCGGGCCGTCTTGAATGCCTCTTGGGCCGTCTTGTTGCGATGCGTGGCCGTCTTGGGCGCCTCTCGGGCCATCTTGGGGCCGTCTTGGGCCGTTACTGGTCGTCTTTGAGACTGTGCAAACGAAAAGCACGAACATATACAAAGTACACGTTTTCCCAAGGGATGGGGCGATCTTTGCCTCTTGGGGCTTTCCTGGGGGTCCTGGGAGCTTCCTGGCCTGCCTTGGAGGCCTCGCCATCCTGGGGCTCGCTTGGGTTCCTCTTGGGGCGTCCGGGCGCCCTCTTGAGCATCTCTGAACCGTCTTAGAGCCGTCTTGGGGCATCTTGGGACCTCCCGGAGCCGGTTCGGAACGCCCAGGGGACTCGCAGGGCCGAAGACCTGGGCGGCCTTTCAAGACAGAGGACTTTCTCGCACGCAAAGGTTCCTACATTGTAGAAAGGACTGGGGCTGACCCGCGGACTTCCGGTCGCGGAATCTGCCCGCCATGGAGTGGACGTGAAATGGAGCGTCTCTGGGGCCTCGCGGGGGGGAGGTTGGAGGGGGCGGTGTGGATGGAGGAGGTGGCCGCTGGAAGGGGAGGTGGGCGAGGGATGCAGGCAAGCAGTCCTGAAGGCAGGAACGCGGTGGTGGAGGCGGTGTCAATGGAAGCACACCCATGTAGGCACGACATGGTGTGGACAGAAGCTGTTTCTCACGCCGCGCTCTGTGTTCATCGTAGCTTCTGCGGAGCGGGTCGGCGGTGATGATCTTACCTGCTCTTCGCCGGGGCCGAATGATGCTTTTATCTGGTAGTGTGGTGAGAATGGGGCCGGTGGGCACGGGCGTGTTCCTGTTCGTTCGTCTGGAGCTTAGACGGCCTAAGAGGCTCGCAAGAGGGCGCCGAGACGGCCCGCACTGGGGCCGCTCAGGCGCCTGGTGCAATTTTGGGCCTCCCCCTCCTCCTCCTTCTCCTCCCCTCGATCCTTCATCCCGTCGATTTTCGATCGTCCCCAAGACGTCCCATGGAGGGCCCCAAATCAGCCCGAGCTGGCCCCGGGACAGTTCCAGAGGCGCCCGAGACGGCCCAAGAGGCATCCATGACAGCCCCAAGAGCGGCCAATACGGCTCAGACGCCCCAAGATGGCCCGAGAGGCGCCCAAGACGGCCTCAAATCGCCCCAAGATGGCCCAAGAGGTATTCAAGACAGCCCCAAATGTTCCCGAGAGACCCCCAGGAGGACGAAAAAAGGCCCCCACATGGCCCCCAAGAGGGCCCCACACGGCCCCCAAAAGCCGTCTTGGAGACTGTGCGGACGAAAATCACGAACACATGCAAATTATACTTTTCCCAATTTTTGCCTCTTAGGGCTCTCCTGGGGCTCCCCCTGGGCCGTCTTGGGAGCGTCCTGGCCTGCCTTGAAGGCCTCTGGGGCCATCCTGGGGCTGGCTCGCTTGGGGTCCTCTTGGGGCGTCCGGGCGCCCTCTAGAGCATCTCTGAGCCGTCTTGGGGCATCTTGGGACCCCCTGGAGCTGTTTCGGACGGTTCGGAGCGCCCAGGGGGCTCACAAGGCGCCCTGGAGGGCCCAGGCGGCCTTTCAAGACAGAGGTCCTCCTCGCACGCCAAGGGCCCTGCATTGTAGAATAGATGACGTCGGGCTCCAGCTTCGCCTCCCGCATCTCGCTCAGCAGCGCCAGCGCCCGCTGCCACTGCTCGCCCTTCTCGCACGCGCTGATCCCAGCGCTGTAGCTGATGACGTCGGGCTCCAGCTTCGCCTCCCACATCTCGCTTAACAGCGACATCGCTGGCTGCCACTGCTCGCCCTTCTCGCACGCGCTGATCCCAGCATTGTAGCTGACTAGGGCTGACCCGTGGACTCCGTCCACGATATCTTTCTGGAATGGTTCTCGGAGGAACGGCGCAGATTGTACCGAAAATCTACAAACACGGCGGCGGCTCGGGCGGCGGCAGCGAGACCGCGCCTTCGTGTCCGAGCTCTTGCAGCGCTGCAGCAGCTTGGCCCAGCGCACTGCTCGTTCACCCCCCTCCTATTGAGGACAGTTTCGAAGTCTCTCGGGGATGTGCGTCGAAGTCGAAGCCCATCTGAGGCGTCTCAGGAGCGCTTGGGGAAAGGCTCGGGAGGCCATCGTGGAAAGCCACCGAAAGCGCCGGGGAGGCTCGCAAGGATCTACAGGGAGGGCCCAATAGAGCTTCAAGAAAATTTGAAATCCAGTGAACTCTTAAGAGAAACCGCTGTTGGGTCGGCCATCACCTCCGGGCGCGCCTTGATGGTGCGATCCAGTCGCATCACCGCCAACGGGAGGGTTTGTTCGCCATGTCCCATTGTGTTCGCCCAGAGGGTCTGTGGAGGCCTTCGGGCGAACTGAACGGGACAGGGCAAGGAATGGGGAAGACATGTCCGAATCTCCTGGACCCCCCAGATGCTCGTCCGAAGAATGCGGAGAGATCCCAGGGTCATATCAATTGGCTGCTGTCCCAGGCGTCCGGTCTGCTTGGCCCGAAGAGTTTGCCAAGGCCCCTGGGGGAACAGAATGGCACAGCATATCGGGCAAAGGGGGGCGGTAGCTGGCCTGTCAGACCCGACGTTCGTCTTCTGCCCAAGCGGCGCGGGGCCCACGGGCCCCAGGGTTGGCGTCCCGCTGGGATTCCTCTTGTTCGCCCACAGGGTTGGAGGAGGCCTCCAGGCGAACAGAATGGGGCAGGACAATGAATGTGGGAGACTTGTCGCAAGCTCCCAGCCCCCCCAAGTGTGCGCCCGAAGGGTGTGGGGCCGCGTTGGCTCCCTCAAAGGGCCGTCTTGGAGCCGTCTAGGCCCGTCTTGAGGGCGCCGTTTGCCCTGATGGGGCCGTCTTGGTTCGTCGTGGGCCCCTCATGGGCGCGTCCGTAGGCCGTCCTGGGCCCATCGGGGTCCTCGTGGGGCTGTCTTGGAGCCGTCTGGGACCGTGAGGAGGCCGCCTTGGAGTCGTCTTGGGCCCCTCCTGTGCGCCTCCTTGGGCCGTCCTGGGCCCAGCAGGGGCCGTGTTGGCACCCTCTTGGGGCTGTCTTGGAGCCGTCTTGAGCCGTCGCAGCGCGCCTTGGGTTGTGCTGGGTCCGTCTTGGCCCGTCTTGGGGCCTTCCTGGGCGGTTCCTCGGACCCTCCTGGGACTTTCTGGGGCCTCTTGGTGCATCGGACCGCCGAAACGGCGGGAAACGCAAAGGGTGTAACAGTAAACAATGGAAAATTAACGATTTTTGCCAGCTGGGACTCTCTTGCCATCTTGGCCCGTCTTGAGGCCCCGAACGGGCGCGTCCTTGGGCCGTCCTGGGCGCACCCTCCTGGGACCGTCTTGGAATCGTCTTGGGCCGTCTTGAGCGCGCCTTGGGCCGTCCTGGGCCGGTCTGGGGCCGTGTTGGCACCCTCGCGGCGAGGAAGCTCGGAGGCGGGCTCGAGGCCTCTTCGGGGCCATTTTGGAAGCTGTTGGGGCCTCTGTAGGGGCCTCGTTTGGGCTCCTTGGGAGCCTCCTGGGGCCTCTTCGGGGGATTCTTGGCGGCCCCTTGGGGCCTCTTGGGGGCCTGTTTGGGCCTCCTGGCGCCCTCTTGGGGCGGAAGGCTCGGATTTTCGGTCCGTGGTCCCCCTCTTGGCCCCCTCTTGGGCCTGTCTTCGGGCCCTCGTGGGCCGTCTTGAGCGTCTCTTGGGTCGTCTTGGGGCCCTCTTGGGCTGTCTTGGGGCGCTCTTGGAAACCTCTTGGGCCGTTCTGGGGCGCTCTTGGAGGCCTCTTGGGCCGTCTTCGAGCGTCGGAAAGCGGAAAAGGCGAGAAGGCCAAAATCCTTCCAAAACCGTCGTAAAGCGGACGATTTTGAGGCCCAAAACCGTCCAAAACCTCCTGAGGCGGTCCCCTCGTCCGCCCCCCTCGCTTCGAAGCAGTTTTTAAGCCCCGTGGCACCTCTTGGGGATCTCTTTTGGGCTCCTGGGGGCCTCTTGGGCCTCCACTGGATTCGCTGCCCTCGGTCGGCAATCGTCGATCCTACGACGACTCTCCCCAACGGAGAAACATCGAAGGCCCTCGGAGCGTCCAACATTGTTCTTTTGTGCCTTCGATATGCCGGTCGCCTCTCGTCCGCTCCCCCCCTCCTGGAAGCAATTCTGAGGCCACTTAGGGCTTCGTGGGGGCCGTTTGGGGATCTCTTGGGGCGTTTTTGCCTGCGATATGCCTGTCGCCTCTCGTCCGCTCCCCCGCTCCTGGAGGGAATTCTGAAGGCACTGAAGGCTTCGTGGGGGCCGTTTCGGAGCCTCTTCGGCCTTCTTTTGGGCCTCCCGGGGGGGCTCTCAGGGCCCTCTTGGGCCGTCTTGGGTGCCTCTTGGGCCGTCTTGGGGCTGTCTGAAGCCGGCTTCGGCGCCTCTTGGGCTGGCTTGGGCCGTCTTGGGCCGCTCCTGGGGCCGTCTTGGGTGCCTCTTGGGCCGTCTTGGGCGCCTCCTGGGCCGTCCTGGGGCCGTCCTGGGCCGCCGTGGGGCCGTCTTGGGGGCCCTCTTGGCCCGTCTTGGGGCTCTCTTGGGGTCCTCTTCGGCCGTCTTGGAGCGGTCTGGGGGAGCTCTTGGCCCGTCTTGGAGCGTCGGGGTGCCGAAAAGGCGAGGAGGCCGAAACCATCGAAAAACACAATGGAAATCGACGGTTTCTACCGCTCGGGGCCCTCTTGGGAGGCCTCTGGGGAAGCCTCTTGGGGCGTCTTGGAGGCTTCTTGGGCCGTCTTGGGCCAATCTTGAGCGTCTTGGGCCCATCTTGGGGCGTGCCGGGGCCCTCCGGAGCCGTCTTGGGGGCCTCTTGGGGCTTCCTTGGCGCGTCTTGGGGCCTCCCGGGGCGGCCCGGGGCGGCCCGGGGCCAGCCCGGGGCGGTTTCGGTGCATTGGGGCCTGCGCCATTCTGGCACGCACTGGGCCCTGCAATGTAGTAGAGACTAGGGCTGACCCGTGGACTCCGTCCACGACATCTTTCTGGAATGGTTCTCGGAGGAACGGCGCAGATTGTACCGAAAATCTACAAACACGGCGGCGGCTCGGGCGGCGGCAGCGAGACCGCGCCTTCGTGTCCGAGCTCTTGCAGCGCTGCAGCAGCTTGGCCCAGCGCACTGCTCGTTCACCCCCCTCCTATTGAGGACAGTTTCGAAGTCTCTCGGGGATGTGCGTCGAAGTCGAAGCCCATCTGAGGCGTCTCAGGAGCGCTCGGGGAAGGGCTCGGGAGGCCATCGGGGAAAGCCACCGAAAGCGCCGGGGAGGCTCGCAAGGATCTACAGGGAGGGCCCAAGAGAGCTTCAAGAAAATTTGAAATCCAGTGAACTCTTAAGAGAAACCGCTGTTGGGTCGGCCATCACCTCCGGGCGCGCCTTGATGGTGCGATCCAGTCGCATCACCGCCAACGGGAGGGTTTGTTCGCCATGTCCCATTCTGTTCGCCCAGAGGGTCTGTGGAGGCCTTCGGGCGAACAGAACGGGACAGGGCAAGGAATGGGGAAGACATGTCCGAATCTCCTGGGCCCCCCAGATGCTCGTCCGAAGAATGCGGAGAGGTCCCAGGGTCATATCAATTGGCTGCTGTCCCAGGGGTCCGGTCTGCTTGGCCCGAAGAGTTTGCCAAGGCCCCTGGGGGAACAGAATGGCACAGCATATCGGGCAAAGGGGGGCGGTAGCTGGCCTGTCAGACCCGGCGTTCGTCTTCTGCCCAAGCGGCGCGGGGCCCACGGGCCCCAGGGTTGGCGTCCCGCTGGGATTCCTCTTGTTCGCCCACAGGGTTGGAGGAGGCCTCCAGGCGAACAGAATGGGGCAGGACAATGAATGTGGGAGACTTGTCGCAAGCTCCCAGCCCCCCCAAGTGTGCGCCCGAAGGGTGTGGGGCCGCGTTGGCTCCCTCAAAGGGCCGTCTTGGAGCCGTCTAGGCCCGTCTTGAGGGCGCCGTTTGCCCTGATGGGGCCGTCTTGGTTCGTCGTGGGCCCCTCATGGGCGCGTCCGTAGGCCGTCCTGGGCCCATCGGGGTCCTCGTGGGGCTGTCTTGGAGCCGTCTGGGACCGTGAGGAGGCCGCCTTGGAGTCGTCTTGGGCCCCTCCTGTGCGCCTCCTTGGGCCGTCCTGGGCCCAGCAGGGGCCGTGTTGGCACCCTCTTGGGGCTGTCTTGGAGCCGTCTTGAGCCGTCGCAGCGCGCCTTGGGTTGTGCTGGGTCCGTCTTGGCCCGTCTTGGGGCCTTCCTGGGCGGTTCCTCGGACCCTCCTGGGACTTTCTGGGGCCTCTTGGTGCATCGGACCGCCGAAACGGCGGGAAACGCAAAGGGTGTAACAGTAAACAATGGAAAATTAACGATTTTTGCCAGCTGGGACTCTCTTGCCATCTTGGCCCGTCTTGAGGCCCCGAACGGGCGCGTCCTTGGGCCGTCCTGGGCGCACCCTCCTGGGACCGTCTTGGAATCGTCTTGGGCCGTCTTGAGCGCGCCTTGGGCCGTCCTGGGCCGGTCTGGGGCCGTGTTGGCACCCTCGCGGCGAGGAAGCTCGGAGGCGGGCTCGAGGCCTCTTCGGGGCCATTTTGGAAGCTGTTGGGGCCTCTGTAGGGGCCTCGTTTGGGCTCCTTGGGAGCCTCCTGGGGCCTCTTCGGGGGATTCTTGGCGGCCCCTTGGGGCCTCTTGGGGGCCTGTTTGGGCCTCCTGGCGCCCTCTTGGGGCGGAAGGCTCGGATTTTCGGTCCGTGGTCCCCCTCTTGGCCCCCTCTTGGGCCTGTCTTCGGGCCCTCGTGGGCCGTCTTGAGCGTCTCTTGGGTCGTCTTGGGGCCCTCTTGGGCTGTCTTGGGGCGCTCTTGGAAACCTCTTGGGCCGTTCTGGGGCGCTCTTGGAGGCCTCTTGGGCCGTCTTCGAGCGTCGGAAAGCGGAAAAGGCGAGAAGGCCAAAATCCTTCCAAAACCGTCGTAAAGCGGACGATTTTGAGGCCCAAAACCGTCCAAAACCTCCTGAGGCGGTCCCCTCGTCCGCCCCCCTCGCTTCGAAGCAGTTTTTAAGCCCCGTGGCACCTCTTGGGGATCTCTTTTGGGCTCCTGGGGGCCTCTTGGGCCTCCACTGGATTCGCTGCCCTCGGTCGGCAATCGTCGATCCTACGACGACTCTCCCCAACGGAGAAACATCGAAGGCCCTCGGAGCGTCCAACATTGTTCTTTTGTGCCTTCGATATGCCGGTCGCCTCTCGTCCGCTCCCCCCCCTCCTGGAAGCAATTCTGAGGCCACTTAGGGTTTCGTGGGGGCCGTTTGGGGATCTCTTGGGGGGTTTTTGCTTGCGATATGCCTGTCGCCTCTCGCCCGCTCCCCCGCTCCTGGAGGGAATTCTGAAGGCACTGAAGGCTTCGTGGGGGCCGTTTCGGAGCCTCTTCGGCCTTCTTTTGGGCCTCCCGGGGGGCTCTTAGGGCCCTCTCGGGCCGTCTTGGGTGCCTCTTGGGCCGTCTTGGGGCCGTCTGAGGCCCGCCTCGGCGCCTCTTGGGCTGTCTTGGGCCGTCTTGGGCCGCTCCTGGGGCCGTCTTGGGTGCCTCTTGGGCCGTCTTGGGCGCCTCCTGGGCCGTCCTGGGGCCGTCCTGGGGCGTCTTGGGCACCGTCTGGGGGCCCTCCTGGCCCGTCTTGGGGCTCTCTTGGGGTCCTCTTCGGCCGTCTTGGAGCGTTCGGGGGGACTTCTTGGGCCGTCTTGGAGCGTCGGGAAGCCGAAGAGGCGAGGAGGGCGAAAACATCGAAAAACACAGTAGAAATCGACGATATCTGTCGCTCGGGGCCCTCTTGGGAGGCCTCTTGGGAGGCCTCTTCGGGCGTCTTGGACGCCTCTTGGGCCGTCTGGGGCGAATCTCGGGCGTCTTGGGCCCATCTTTAAGCGTGCCGGGGCTCTCCGGGGCCGTCTTGGGGGCTTCTGGGGGCCCTCTCGACATGTCCTGGAGCCTGCCTGGGCGGCCCGGGGCGGCCCGGGGCCAGCCCGGGGCGGTTTCGGTGCATTGGGGCCTGCGCCCTTCTGGCACGCACTGGGCCCTGCAATGTAGTAGAGACTAGGGCGAACCCGTGGACTTCGTCCACGTCATCTTGGGCCAGCCTTGGCTCGAAAAAGCCGTCTTGGGCCTATCTTCGCTCGAAATGGCAAGGAGGTGGAAATCTTTCAGAAACCATAGAATAATCAATGATTTTGTGTGCCGCGGCTCGTCTGGAGCGTCTTCGAGCGGTCTAGGGCCGTCTCGGAGGCCTTCTTGGACCGCTTCCTTCTCTTTGTCCGCCTTCCGCTCTACCTCCGCCTAGACAGCCTTCGGAGCGTCACAGACGGCTATGGTGGGTCTGCGGTGTACGTCTCGCCGCTAGTCAGTTTTGAAAGCACCTGGGGCCTTGAAAAAAGTCACCCGGAGGGCTCTGGTGACTTTTTTCCGGTTGCCTCTTCGAAGCCTGATGGCGGGCGCTGCCGCCTCCTTGGGAACGGTTTCTGGGCCTCTCGTGGTTTCTTTTCGAGCTCCAGGGGGCCTGTTGGGGCCTCGTTGGCTGTCTTGCGGCCTCCTAGGGGCCTCTTGGGGCCCTCTTGGGCCGTCTTGCGGCCTCCTGGAGGCCTTTTCTCTTGAAGTTTTTTTTGGGGCGCCTCTGGGGCTGTTCCTGGGCTATCCTCCCGAGCCTCTTCTGGGGGACAGTCCAGGAAATCTATTGTGCTTGCGTGCTGTGCGTGCGTGCTCTTGTGTGAGAGGTCGGAAGGGTGTTCCGACGTCGAGCCCTTGGTGAGAAGGGCTTTGTACTTCACCGATCGCTCTTTGAGTGGGCGTCCCTGGGCGGTCCTTGTGGGGGTCTTGTTCGGGCCATTCTGTAGCTTGTTTGGGCTGCTCTGGGAGTGTTTGAAGGGGCCCTGGGGCACACACATAAATACACACAAATAAGACGATTCCCTATATTTTCCAATATTTTCTGGGTTTTTGTCTTTCCCCCCCCACTTCCCATATTTTCCAATGTTTTCTGGGGAATCGACGCTTTATTGTGTCTCTTTTTTTTTCCCCCTCCTGAGTGTTTTGGGACGTTTTGGGGCCTTTTTGGGCCGTCGCGGGGCGTCCGGGAGGCCTGGATCTCTTGAGGCCGCCCGAGGCCGTCTTTGGGAGCCTCTTGGGGCCCCCTCGGAGCTGTCTTGGGGCCGTCCTGGGGTTCCGTGAGGCCGCTCCAGGGCCCTCTGGCGTCGTCTTGGGGCGGTCTGGGAGGCCTCTCGGCGTGTCCTGGGCCGCTGAGGAGCACACAGGGCGGGCATGCTGAAGACATACGTTTTCCCGTGGGAATTTGACGATTTGTGCCTCTTTGGCGTGCGCTCGGGGCCCTCTTGGGGCGTCTTTGCGGCCTCTTGGATCGTCGTGGAACCCCCCCGGAACACTTTGGGCCCTCGTGGGCCGTCTCGGGACCCACTGGGGCCGTCTTGGAGCGCTCTTGGACGGTCTGGGAACCCTTCTGGAGCGCCTCTGGGGCCGGCCTGAGCGATTCGGCCCCGTGGTGGCGCCGTAAAGGGGCGATTTTGTGCACACGCGGCCCTGAGACATTCTCGCACGCGCCTCCACTGGCCATGTAGGAGAGACTAGGGCTGACCCGCGGCTTTCAGGCCGCGGAATTTGCCCGCCATGGCTTGGACGTGGAAGTGGAGCGTCTCTGGGGCCTCGCGGATAAGGGGAGGTTGGAGGGGACGGCGTGGATGGAGGAGGTGGCCGCTGGAGGGGGAGGTGGGCGAGGGATGCAGGCAAGCAGGCCTGAAGGCAGGAACGCGGTGGTGGAGGTGGTGTCAATGGAAGCGCAGCCATGTAGGCATGACATGGTGCGGACAGAAGCTGTTTCTGACGCCGCAATCTGTGTTCATCACAGCTTCTGCGGGGAGGGCAGCCGTGAGAAGTTATCTGATCTTCGCCGGGGCCGAATGATAATTTTATGTGGTAGTGTGGTGACAATGGGGCCAGTGGGCGCGGCCTAGGAGGCCCGCAAGAGGGCGGCGAGACGTGTATTCCTAAGACGGGCCCCAGTGCGAGGACACGAATCGACCTTTTGAGCGCACCGCCCCAAGACGTCCCCAAATGGCGCAGAGCTGGCTCGCAGAGGGTCCAATATGCCCCCAAGACGATACTGGAAGTTCGACGCTCCCCAAAAGAGAAGCGGCCTCTTTTCGTCCTCCTGGGGGTCTCTTGGAGCCCTCTTGGGCAATCTTGAGTGCGTCTTGGGCCGTCTTGGGGCGATGTGGGGCCGTCTTGGGCGCCCCTCGGCATCTTGGGACAGTCTTGGAGCTATCTTGGGCAAATCTTGGGCGCTCTTGGGGTTGTCTTTGGTGTTTCTTGAGCCGTCTCGGGCGCCTCTGGAGCTGTCCCAGACGGCCCAGAGACCATCTTGGAGACTGTCCAAACGGAAAGGCTTGGAGACGGGGTGGTGGGGGCACCTACAGCCGTCTTGGAGACGGGGCGGTGGGGCCGTCTTGGGCCATTGTTAACTGCTCTTGGGGCTGTCTTGGGTGCGTCTTGGGCCGGCTCGGGCGCCTCTGGAGCCGTTCCGGGGCCACCCTCCTGGGGGCGTCTGAGCGCGTCTTGGGGCGAGCTTGGGGGCCTGTATAGCCGTCTTGGATGTGCGAGGACGGACGAAAAATATAGATATTTTGAAGATGTACGCTCCTCTCTTGGGGCTCTCCTGGAAGCCCTCCTGGGCCGTCTTGGGAGCCTCGTTGGCCATTCTTGGCTGCTCTTGGCGCTGTCTTGGGTGCGTCCTGGGCCGTCTCGGGCGCCTCTGGAGCCGTCCCAGGGCCGTGTGGTGCCCTTTGCGGGCCTCTGGGCGCGCCTCGGGCCAAGGTGGGGGGCCTGTATAGCCCGTCTTGAACGCTGTGAAGACGCAAAAACGGAGCACAGTGAAAACGTGAGTTTCCCGTCGGGAGTGGGACGATTTTGGCCTCTTGTAGCTGTCCTGGAGGCCCTCCTGGGCCGTCTTGGGAGCCTCCTGGCCTGCCTTGGAGGCCTTTAAGGCTGTCTTGGGGCTCCCAAGGGTGCTCTGAGGCCGTCTTGGCGCCCCCTGGAGCCACTCGGAGCCATCCCGAGGCTGTTTTTGGGGCATCTGCGCCCCGGAGGGCGCCCCAGAGGGCCCGGCGGACCTTTCAAGACAGAGGACCTTCTGGCACGCAAAGATCGCTGCATTGTAGAAGAGATGACCTCGGGCTCCAGCTTCGCCTCCCGCATCTCGCTCAGCAGCGCCAGGGCCCGCTGCCACTGCTCGCCCTTCTCGCACGCGCTGATCCCAGCGCTGTAGCTGATGACGTCGGGCTCCAGCTTCGCCTCCCACATCTCGCTCAGCAGCGCCAGGGCCCACTGCCACTGCTCGCCCTTCTCGCACGAACTGATCCCAGCGTTGTAGCTGATGACATCGGGCTCCAGCTTCGCCCCCCGCATCTCGCTCAGCAGCGCCAGGGCTCGCTGCCACTGCTCGCCCTTCTCGCACGCGCTGATCCCAGCATTGTAGCTGACGTGCCCCTGCAATGTAGTAGAGACTAGGGCAGACCTGTGGACTCCGTCCACGACATCAGCTCGACGTGGCGAGGGGTCTCTGGGCAGGCGCGGGGTCTCTGGGCAAGTGCAGACAGAACGGCATAAGCATAAACTTTTGGTGCTCTTTGCAGATTTCGTGCATCTGCGCTGGACCGCCCTCCCTGGCGCGCGGAGCGCCCCAGTGGCGGCGCCTGAAGCGCCGCTGGAGGGTCCCATCGCGGATCCAAGAAATCCGCGCGGAGCGCCGAACGTTTACGGTCACGCCTTTTTCCCCCCTTCGAGCTCCTGGGGCCGCTCCTGGGGCCGCTCTGGGAGGCCTGCCTGAGGCACTCTGCCCGGCCCTGCCCCTGGGGGCCCTCTCGGGGGGGGGGGGGGGGGCGAGGGGCGAACTTTGGGGATGCCTCCGGGGGTGGCTCCGAGGGCCGTGCGCGATGTGCCCTGCCCGCGTGGGCAGCCCGCGGCAGGGCGGCTCGGGCCGCGCGAGGCACCGAAGCAACGAGAGGTGGCCGCTGGTCTGCGCGGTCCCGGGGAGGGAGGCGAGACCTCTGGGGCAGGGCTGAACCTAAACGGTGTTTTTCTTTTTCGTTGTTTTTGTTTTCGTTTTCCCTCGCCTTTGTCTCGAATCCGCCTTTACCTCAAAACGAAGTCGAAACGAAAACGGCCCACCCGGCCCACAAATCGCCAAAAACACCGTTTAGGTCCAGCCCTGCTCTGGGGGTCGGCGTCATGAAAATGTCATGGCGCCAGAAGAGGAGGAGGAGGAGCGCACGTAACTCATGAGGGCATGGTTACGTCATCGACTGGCGCAGATGGCCAGCTTAGTGGCACGCAAGAGCCTCAGGTGGGCCTCAAGGTCGCCACAATGGGAGGGTGAGGCTTCATGCTCTGCTTTGAGCTTGTGGTAGAAGTGAAAACCTAGCACGACTAGGCGATGCGTGGTCTCGCGGGTGACCTGCGGATCAAAATCAGCATCGAGGCCGAAGCCGAGACGCGCCAGGGGGCATGAGGGGAGGAAGAGCCTCGGACGGGCGAGGAGGAGGAGGAGGAGGAGGAGGAGGAGGAGGAGGAGGAGGAGGGAGGAGGAGGAGAGGAGGAGGGAGGAGGGAGGAGGAGGAGGAGGAGGAGGAGGAGGGGGAGGAGGAGGAGGAGGAAGGAGGAGGAGGAGGAAGTCTTCGGTGCCTTCTGGGCCTTCTGGGGAGCCCTCGGTGCCTTCGGGGCAGGCCTTGGGCAGCCTCTAGAAAGGCGGGGGGGGCTTCCGAGCCGTCCGAGGAGGCCTTCTCCCTCTCGCTTCCCCCCCTCTGGCCATCGCTCGGACGTCCATTCCCTGTGTTTTTTTCGGTTTCGTGCGTGGTTTCTTCTCCAAATGATCAAGGATGCTCCTCGATGGTCCCCGCCAAAAGAAAAACGCACACGTCCGAGCGATGCCAAGTCGCTCGCCGCCGAGGGGAGGCGCCCGCGGAGCGCGCGGGGCGGCGGCGGGCGGAGCCACTGGGCCGCAGCGATCGGCTACGCGTTAAGAACGCCTCCTCCTCCTCCTCCTCCTCCTCCTCCTCCTCCTCCTCCGCCTCCTCCTTCTTTCATCTCCTCCTCCTCCTCCTCCTCCTCCGCCTCCTCCTTCTTTCATCTCCTCCTCCTCCTCCTCTTCTTCCTCCTCCTCCTCCTCCGCCCTCCTCCTCCTCCTCCTTTTTCGCGCCGGCGTGGCCTTCCCTGAGATCCTGGCGCCCCGATCTGTTCGAGCCGAGCGTTGTCGCCCTTTGTCGGGCCCCGGGGCCCGCGCAGATCGATCCGGCTCGAACCATGGCGCGGAAAGATGGCGCCTAGGGCTCTGGGCGTGATTTTGTTACGATGCTTCCATCCTCTCGCTACGCCGGATCGGGTGCAAAACGCAAGGCGTACGGGTCTTCGCCCGAAACATAGCAAGCAAGAGCCGCACACGCGCGCAGCATAAGCAAACAATGAAAAGACGGGCCTTGGCCCGCCAGCGCCAGACGCAACGCAAGCAAAGACAAACGATGCCGCGCGCGCTAAAATATACGGGCCTTCCGCCCGCAAGCGAGCGCAAATATAAATATGGCACTGGACGTCTCGCGCTCGCGAGCCTGCCCCCGATCATGTCCACTATGTACACAGTACGCGGTGCGCGGTGGCTGTGCCGAACATGGATCACATCATGGTCATGCTCCTGCTCCCGATGTGGCTGGCCTCGCGTGGAGCCCTCCTCGGCTCTCCCTCGGAGCCTCCAGAGGGGGCCTCTCGGCGAGCCTGCTCGGGTGCGCGAGCGGCCATCTCGACGAGCGTCGCTCGCAGGGCGACGTTGCCGACGCAGGTCACCCAACGCTGCGCGCTCGCGCCAGCGGTGGGTGACCTGCGTGTGTAGATCACTCCTGGACAACATGCCGCTGCGCATGCCTCATCAAGGCAACTCGCCTGGGGATTGTTTGTGGCTGGGCTGGTGGGGCACGGTGTGTGACCATGTGTATGGATATGTAGTCATTTGGCGTCCCCGCATTCTTCCGGATTTTGTGGGGGCGCTTGCTCCTGTGCTGCGTGCCTTCGAATTGGTCGACTGACTGCGGGTGTCGTCCTGAGAGCCGCATATTCTAGATCAGGGCAACTCACCTGGTGCTTGTTTGTGGCTGGGCTGGTGGGGTACGCGAAGCGTGTACATGTCTGATTCGGAGCTTGTCTCCAGGCCCTTTCTGAAGACGGCCGCTGACGCATCCGAGACGGCCCCAGAGGTTTGAAGATGCCTCAGGAGACTACAGGAAAGATCCCCAGAAGAAGGTCGCCTCGGAGCCTCCGGTGACTTTTTCCGGGCCCGCCATTTCAGAGTTTGGCGAAGAACTGAAAACGAACGTAGGAACACTGTCGACATTGTGACTGTGTGGCGAAGGTCGCTGGCGTCTGTGGAGGAGAGAAAGCGCTCCGCGGGCAGGCCTGCGTGCGGTGAGGCACGTGTCGACGCAGTTCGCGTCCTTGACCACGATGGCCAGTTGAAGGCGCTCTCCACACCCTCCAGGACCTCCTGCTCTCCTGTGTTCCTCAGCTGCTGCTGCTGCTCGGAGGTCCTGCTGCTTCCTCCCCCTCCTCCTCCTCCGCCTCCTCCTCCTCCTCCTCTTCCACCTTCTTCTCCTCTTTCGCTGGATTCTCCATGCCCTCGGTCGGCAATCGTCGATCCTACGACGACTCTCCCCAACAGAGAAACATCGAAGGCCCTCGGAGCGTCCAACATTGTTCTTTTGTGCCTTCGATATGCCAGTCGCCTCTCGTCCGCTCCCCCCCTCCTGAAAGCAATTCTGAGGCCACTTAGGGCTTCGTGGGGGCCGTTTGGAGATCTCTTGGGGCGTTTTTGCCTGCGATATGCCTGTCGCCTCTCGTCCGCTCCCCCGCTCCTGGAGGGAATTCTGAAACCACTGAAGGCTTCGTGGGGGCCGTTTCGGAGCCTCTTCAGCCTTCTTTTGGGCCTCCCGGGGGGGCTCTGAGGGCCCTCTCGGGCCGTCTTGGGTGCCTCTTGGGCCGTCTTGGAGCCGTCTGAGGCCCGCCTCGGCGCCTCTTGGGCTGTCTTGGGCTGTTTTGGGCCGCTCCTGGGGCCGTCTTGGGTGCCTCTTGGGCCGTCTGGGGCGCCTCCTGGGCCGTCCTGGGGCCGTCCTGGGGCGTCTTGGGACCGTCTTGGGGCCCTCCTGGCCCATCTTGGGGCTCTCTTGGGGTCCTCTTCGGCCGTCTTGGAGCGGTCGGGGGGACTTCTTGGGCCGTCTTGGAGCGTCGGGAAGCCGAAGAGGCGAGGAGGCCGAAAACATCGAAAAACACAACAGAAATCGACGATTTCTGTTGCTCGGGGCCCTCTTGGGAGGCCTCTTGGGAGGCCTCTTCGGGCGTCTTGGACGCCTCTTGGGCCGTCTGGGGCGAATCTCGGGCGTCTTGGGCCCATCTTTAAGCGTGCTGGGGCTCTCCGGGGCCGTCTTGGGGGCTTCTGGGGGCCCTCTCGACATGTCCTGGAGCCTGCCTGGGTGGCCCGGGGCGGCCCGGGGCCAGCCCGGGGCGGTTTTGACTCATTGGAGCCTGCGCCCTTCTGGCACGCACTGGGCCCTGCAATGTAGTAGAGACTAGGGCTGACCCGTGGACTCCGTCCACGACATCTTTCTGGAATGGTTCTCGGAGGAACGGCGCAGATTGTACCGAAAATCTACAAACACGGCGGCGGCTCGGGCGGCGGCAGCGAGACCGCGCCTTCGTGTCCGAGCTCTTGCAGCGCTCCAGCAGCTTGGCCCAGCGCACTGCTTCGTTCACCCCCCTCCTATTGAGGACAGTTTCGAAGTCTCTCAGGGATGTGCGTCGAAGTCGAAGCCCATCTGAGGCGTCTCAGGAGCGCTCGGGGAAGGGCTCGGGAGGCCATCGGGGAAAGCCACCGAAAGCGGCGGGGAGGCTCGCAAGGATCTACAGGGAGGGCACAAGAGAGCTTCAAGAAAATTTGAAATTCTGTAGAATCTTTAGAGAAACCGCTGTTGGGTCGGCCATCACCTCCGGGCGCGCCTTGATGGTGCGATCCGGTCGCATCACCGCCAACGGGAGGGTTTGTTCGCTATGTCCCATTCTGTTCGCCCAGAAGGTCTGTGGAGGCCTTCGGGCGAACAGAACGGGACAGGGCAAGGAATGGGGAAGACTTGTCCGAATCTCCTGGGCCCCCCAGGTGCTCGTCCGAAGAATGCGGAGAGGTCCCAGGGTCATATCAATTGGCTGCTGTCCCAGGGGTCCGGTCTGCTTGGCCCGAAGAGTTTGCCAAGGCCCCTGGGGGAACAGAATGGC